ATATTTCCCTACAGCACACAGATTAACAAGCAGGCACATGAACACTGTGACTGTTTGTGTGGAGGGTTGTACTGGTTTAATGGTTATTTTCATCATTCATCATGAAGTTAACAGTTTTGTTTGCTAATATAACATCTTAACAATAATGTAATGGATTGCCATGAAGTCAGGTACACAGCTAGATTTATATCCATGGTGCCCGTGTGTATCGTACTGGCTTCAGTCATCTTTTTCTTCGAGCACCAGTGTGAGGTTCATGTTTGTGTTTCCGAGTGTCCATCAACATTCCAGCAGCAGCACCTGCCTTTTTATAGTCATTGTTTTCTGTCTCTTCCACTGCCTTTTTCCTCGCAGACAGTCTGTTCTCTCTGCGTAAGAAGTAGGACTCTGCGTGGTTTGTTGTTGTGTCGTTGGAAACATCAGACGATCCAGATGAGCTCAATCTGAAAACACAAGACATGTATAAAGCATTCAACCGCTAACTCAAATGACTATGTTTCTTTGTTAGATGTAATAATTGCTTGAATTGGATTAGAAGATCTTACCTTGACAGTCTTTCATGCTGAAATAGAGGAGACACACATTAAAACTAGGTTTTCTGACCAAAAATAGAAAATGCAAAAGAGCAATGATAATGTAAGGTTTGGTAATGATATTCCTGATTATCTTAACCAAGGTTTTTTATTTCATTGCCCCATCCTGTATTTCAGCAGATGTCCATTAGTTTGACAACATCATTTGTTTGACAGGCTGTTTGGTTGTAACATGAGATTTATTAAGAACAATGTGAAATCAAATCCACAAATTAGGTTTATTTGTGTCCTGCTGAACAAATACCACAAGCATACACTCACTTGCCCACAGGATGTATTTTAATACATCTACAATATCAGTATTAGATGAGAAAAGTGTCCTCTGCAGTAGGAATTTTCTTTTGAACGGTGTATTTCAAGTTTTCCTAGAAAAGGTTTATGGAGCACACAGAGTCCAGTTATAGGGGAGAGGAAATGATTCCTTAAATAAACCGACAAGCACAGATAACCAAACACATCCAAAAAAGGTAAAAGCTCTGGCAGTGGCATTCACAATTTGTTCATTATTGCCTTTTAAAGTTAAAGGTATGTGTGCTGACAGATATTCAAACATCATTTCAGGTCTCTGAACTCAGCTGGCTGATACTTGCTCCACAGACTTTCTAAGTGCATTTAAATTCAATTAGAAAGAGTGCGGTCCACAGAAGAACAACACTGTCAGTTGTTTTGGCAGCTGCCCCAAAATGACATGTTATTTTAAAGGTATGATGTCTATAATTTCTAAACATTAACCACATACTTATTTTAATCACCATTCCAACTAAAGTCGTCTACCTCACCAAACCTTAACCATAGTGTTGTCAAATTATAAAGCTGTTGTACCTCCACCAGGATGTTTCCATTCCTGTTTGTTAGTTTGTCTGTTAGTTAGCAGGACAAGACAAAAAGTACTTGAGAGATTTCCATTATAGTTTTATTTTCATGGAAAAACTTCTTTTTGCTTCTGTTTTTGAGCTGATAAGATGTTGCTGAGATCAATGTCACACTGAGAAAAAGGTTGCAAACACAGACTGAAGCAGCCTAACAACACATTGAAAGCAACATCACAAGCTTTTCAGATCTCAGCCATTCTAACATGGCTCCGGGATGAAAATGTCAGTCAGTTGGTTTGCCACTTTTTCAAGGTTAAAATGACTTAAATGAACTTAACACCAACTTAAAGCTTGTGAGGCATAAACACATTCTTCAAAGCCATCATCAGCCTGTCGTCTGTTTCAGTAGATGCTCATTACTGCACAAATGTTGACTCCACACAGCTTGGCCTCATCATTTGTTTGACAGGCCGTCTGGGCGTGATGGGAATAATTCTCTGCTACAACGCAAGTGTTTAGATTTCCAGTCATGCTAGCAAAGTGGTGCTGGACTGGATTTGTCAGTCTGTCAGTTCATGTGTCCACCACTTTGGTCCAGATATGAATATATACAAATATATCTATCTATCCATCCATCTACTGATCTTTTCTTCCCTCCTTTCTTCCTTCCCACCTGCCAGTTAGATACTAGGACAGGACAGAGAACATGCTCATTATGATCTGCTTTAACAGCTGTATGCTAGTATTGTCATGGTGATGTTACCTTTAAGCACTGAGCATAAGCACAGCCTCACAGCACCCCTAGCATGACTGTGGACAGAATTAATTTCAATAAGTTACAAATAATTTTATTGAAATGTATTTTTGAACTTGCTCAGCACATCATATGTTTCCACGAATTGAATGTATATTCATTTTACCAATCATAAAAGACAAACTAATATGACAATCAACAGTAACCTATAAGAAGTATTTATCTTAACATTATCATCACCAGATTATTTATTTCTGCTGATATAACTTCCAGTTTGCATTGTACAAATCAGACTGGTGACCACTGCTCTAGTATTTACATGCAGGAAAGAATCTCAGAGACAAGTGGATTCCTGCAAAGAAGAACTAGGGATTAAAGTTTCAGACACAGAGTGTAAACACAGTGATGTGCCTCTGCTCAGACATTTACAGATCTCTGGATCTTCACCAGACTCTGATGTCAGCTTCTTCAAGTTTCTCTCACTTTGGACACTTGGATGTGCTGGATAAACGGTCACTAATGATATACAGCACGCAGACTTTGAAGAAGCTCTGGTTTAGATTAAGGGACATCACATATAAACAGATGCTAATGGAAAAGCAGTTTCTTTTAAACGTTGTCCAATGTATGTGAATGTGTCTCTGTCGCTAAGCTGTCCTCCAGCCTGTCTATATCCCATGGGGAACTTCTAGTCCTCTGACCAGCCATTCCCGAGTGGAAAATTTGAGCTTCCCGTAGGACTAGCAGAGATAAACATCCATAAATACTGCGTCTGAGTTCCCAGCCAGTCCTGAGCACTCTATCCCTCCTCCCCTCTGTTCTATGTCATCCTGTCTTTCACCCCTGCTTTCTTTCTCTCACTCTTTCTTCTCCCACTCTTCCTGTTCTCCCCCTCTCTCACACACTGACGTCGCTGCTTCCCCATTTATCTTTCCCAAGTGGATTCTATAGTTTACATAAACAGATATGGCTAACTGCAACTCTGCCTCGATTCCATTTTCAAGTTGTTCATGCAAAACATCATGCAGTTTAATTTCAGTATGTGAGTATAAACAGGTCTTTAGCAACTTCTGTGATTGTCTCCAGGAATTTGTTTGTAAAGTTTAAAGTTGTTGAAAGCCCTGTTTCTTCTGAACAGCATGTATAGCCCATGATTTGATCAATAATCCACAGATTAAGTTGATGAACAAAATCATCTGCAATTATTATTAATATGATTGTCAATTAAAGCACCAAAGTAACTCCTGCTCTTATACGTTACCTCTAGTACTGATAATATCATAAATATTGTAAAGTGGATTATAAGAGAACATTAGTCGATTAGTCTCTAGAGGTCAGTACTCCACATCTTTTTCCATTGCACCTATAGGCCAAATAATCAGTCGACATGAAGGAAAATAAAAGTAAAATCAAGTAAGACATGACAAGTCTCCTCGGCACAGAAATACCACTGTGGCTTGTTGCGTAGACATTTGTTTGATAGTACTGAAACTTTAATGCCGCTGTTTGCATTATGTCAGCTTTGGCATTTCCTCTCAATAAACAAGATGAAAGACAATCAGGCCTTACCCTCAGGCTCCTGGTGGTGGCAGCGGAAGAAGTCGGAGAAGAGTCAGAGAGCGACTTTCTAATGTGCGGCTGATCTTTGTTGTGAGAAAGTAGAGATGACATCGCTCTGGAGCTGCTGAAGCCACATGCAGCTGTAATGTGATGTGGTCCAAAGTACTGGAACTAGAAAAAAAGTTAAACACTTCTTCTTAAACTAAAAGGAAAAAAAAACTCTAAACAGGAGGCTGATGAATTCATTTATCATCCACGGATATGAGTCAGATGTGACTGTTTCCTTATAGTTAAAGTTAGCAGCCTAAGTGTAATCTTCATGTGATGGTGAGACATTGCATATCTGATGAGAGTGAAAGAGCAGCACAAGTGTGAGAGCTCTGGAGGAAGTGGTGGGACTAGGCAGGAGGCGGGCTGTGGTGCATGTGTGTGTGTGTGTGTGTGTGTGTGTGTGTGTGTGTGTGTGTGAACACATGGATTTGACAGCAGCATTGTTCACATGGGCCCCAAGGGATTCGGTCATTTCACCAAAAATAGAAAAAGAAAAGCATTGTTAAACACATTAATCAAGATGTTTGGCTTTTATACAAGTAAATATGAAAATGATTAATGTTATTAGTGTATTTACATCTCTTTGTGTGACGCAAAGGGAAGTACATTAATTATTTCAATGCTAATGTTATTTCTTGTAATTTAGTTAAAAAAAAATAATCAAAAAGGAACAAAGTAATCAAAAAGTTCAAACAGGTGGAACAAACTGCACCTGAAAGTAGAAGTAAAATTAAGAATACAGGCAAATGTGGGTTCATGTTATGGAAAGTGAACAAAACAATGTGCCAATTCTAAACTTTGTTCTATTATTCTATTCAATTCTAAAATAAAGTTAGCTGTATCCTGGTAACTTACCAAGATGAAAAATAAAACAGATCCAACATTTGTTGCTTGTGTTTCATTATTGTGGCAGTAAACAGGCACCACCTGCTGGAGGAAGCTAGCACTTTTACCTTTTTACAAAAAAAGGTAATGACAAGAGAACAGTATGTACAAGAACTAGAAACATATATAATATAATATACATGTACTTTTTGAATTACAGCAAGCTTTAAGGATTCATTTCCTCTCACAGCTGGTAATTGATACTGGAGTCTATTATTTATTTATGTCACTTGTAAATCAACGAATGAAATAAATGTTAAATCATGTATGCCTATAATTCAATTTTTACATAATCTAAATGCCATGGCCGATTCAGGATAATAAAGTAAGTTTGTTGAAATAGATTTCCATTAAATAAAAAAGTTTGTAGAATTAAATGATTATTTATGGGACTCAAATAAAAAAATAGGCCACAAACTGCGAGTGACTGAAAGGGTTTTAATCACTTCACTTTTTAAATGTTTTCTCATTTTTTTGCCGAATCTTATTTTGAAAAAATAAATTACAACGGTCGTGCTGTTATTCTCAAAGGAAATGACGTAACTTCCGTGATTTTACCCGCTTCTTTCCAAGAAAGACCCGCCCACTCTCGGTAAACTGCGCAGAAGTGGCGTCAAACGGAAACTTTGAAGTTTAAACTCGTGTTTTTACAAGAAAGTAAGAAACTAAGTCGAGTTATTTCAAGTTTCTTATCGTTCAGCGACGAGTCTGGTGGAAAACAGCTGATTGTTCATGAGCTAGTTCACCTGTGAGTCACCTGCTGAGGTTTAATGGAGGCTGAGCTGAACAGGACTGTCACTGAGCTGGACAAGCTCCGGAGTTTACATCCCTCTCCTGGACCGTGGGACTGAGGAACCACAACATGGAGGTGTCATGGCAGCAGCAGAGGAAGTGGACGCAGCTGGAGATCTGTGTCTTCTACTCTAGATCAACTCAGGTGTGTGTCTGCTTTCCTGAACCCTCTGACCCACAGTCACTTAGTGGATCTCTGTGATACTCGAATCAACTGCGTGTGTGGTTGGACAATTCAGGTTACCAAGAAATATGGCAGCAGTTAACTATTATTTTTCTTGAGTGTGTTAAATAGTTTAAATAACCAAAGTATTCGATTCAAATTCACTTAATTGTCAGAATCTCTTCTGAAATGTGTCTTGCATCCAAAGACGTCCTTTTCGTCACACAAAGACAAACATGTAATTACAGAACCAAAACGATTTCTGCAAACATTATACACAAACTGATGACATTGCATCAAACATTTAAAAACAAATGGTCGAAGTGCATTTCCTTTAACATTCAGTAACTCGACCACACCTGGATACTGAGCCTACATAGAGCTATTGAGGTTTTGATGAATATTGAAAAACTCAAAGATATTCAGCCCAAAAACAAAAAATACTACAGTCACAAGAGTTAGCTACCTTGTATCTGCATCCTGTATATTATACTTGTTCTGGCAATTTAGCACCATATAGGTCACCTACCTCATGTATATAATGTAACCTGTACGTTAATGATCAATATTTCTTCCTCTAGTTACAATGCCACCATATCCACATAGTAATTCAATGTTTCTTTTGCCCACCTTCGCACACCTTGTCTTCCATTGCACTACTGTATAGTACAGTTTAACTCTATTTTCACATAGTAGTTATTTGTATTTTGCTAGTTTCTTGTATTTCTTGTGTAAGTACACTGAGCACAATTACACTGTTCCTAGTATGTGTACTGTGTACATATACTTGGCAAATAAAGCTGATATTATATCAAGATAAACATTTCAGTTGATTAATAATTATCATTATACATGTACAATTGTTATTATTGTTCGAAGACTAATTTTGCTCCTGAGTGAAGGTTGTGGTTTTAATCTCTTCTTCATGAGCAACAGATGACAATCACTTGATAAACAGCAAAACATTTTACAAATCTGTTTAATTGCGTCTTGTACGTCTTTGCATTTTATTGATAGTCTATTGGACTTTTGTTATATTGCTATTGAAGGCAATGACACTGTGATATTTATTGATATTGTTTTACTGCCCAGCCCTAAATGTCACAATATAGTGCTAATAAAAGCATGAAATATTAAGGCTAGGTAACCTTGAACCATCACATTCAGGACATGTTTCCATGATTTATTTTTTCCCTTGAAAGTTGACTTAAGTTTAAGTCATTGTCACGCTGCAGACATTTTTTATTCCAAGCAGGAACAGGCTCATAATTCATTCACACCACATTCCTCGTCTTTCTCATTTGTTTTCAGCAATTTATTTTAAAGTACCAGCAATTTCACACTCTCTGTATTTGTATGGACACGATGCATTCACAGGATCTCTCTCGTGTAATGCTCCAGGAAAAGTTCTGAGAAAAAGGAGTAGGTCAAACAAGGAGGTGTAGCGGGTACTGCTGCATCACAAAGCCTCCATTTAAACACAAAACCTTACCATTTATGACACAAGCTGATGTTAAGTGTTAATTTCACAGTAACAGTCTCTGTCAAGGTGTAATGTAAGGACATGCATCAAATACAAATAAAGCGGGGGCCCTCTCATGAAAACATAACTCAATAACGTTGCTAGAGGTCATTAACTCCAAATGATACCTTCAAGGATTAATCATTGTCACTTTAAGTATATCTATGCTAAAGAGTTGAGATGTTTTAAGTAGTTTTTTATATACTTTATATCCTTAAATAATGATTAAGTGGAACAGGAAACAAATAAAATAAATAACATGCGTTTTGTTGTTTTTGTTCTACGCTATTAAACATGTATGTCAAGACTATAACAGATGTAGTCTAATCAGTTCAAAACACTGTTTGCAGGTTCAGGTCTTCACTCTGTAAAGAAACATATTTTTAGGTCATTTCATCGACACCCTGTTAAAATTACTTGTAATATTAGTAATGAAAATAATACCTCTGACGTTCAGGATCATTGAGCACTCCGCTGACCCCAGTTTGTTCTCAATAACTACTTTGTATTCACCATTGTCTTTGGCTCCGACCCTCAGTATGAGCAAGGAGCAGACACCGCAGACATTAGTGATGTGGTAGTTGGTGTTTGTGTTCAGGTTGATGTTGTTGCGGTACCACGTCACACGAGGAGATGGATCTCCCTTAACTGCACAACTCATGTGACACTCGTAGCCTTGTGGAGCCGTACGCATCTTCAGGGGGACGATAAATGCTGGAGGGGCCTGGAAGTCCACGTTTTTTTTCTTTGGCATGTTCACTTTGAACTTTTCTGAAAGAAATGCATAAAGGTTTACAGAATTGTGATAATTAAATAATGAGTTTAAACATGTGTCCCTGAGACATTTTCTCTAACTAGAAGGATAACTATTTAGTTCTGGCATGATTTAGCTTTGATTTGGCTCTCTGATTGAAATGGTGGCACAAACCTTTTTCCTTTCTGTTTTCAAACACAGGGGATTCAGTAGGTGTTGAAAAGCCCATGTCATTTTTAGCAAACACTCTGAAGTAGTACTCCCGTCCAGGCAAAATATTTACAACTGTGAACTTGTTGTTGAAGAGGTTGTCGGCCATTGTCCTCCAAGTGCGCTTGAAGGAGTCCCGTTGGGAAACCATGTAGTGTAGCCTGTCGTCCCTCTTCTCATCTGGAGAGGGAGACCAGGACAGAGTCACTGTTCCTGGGATGTTTTGATCCAGCTCCACTGATCCTGGAGGCCTGGGATCATCTGCAATCACATGTAGAGACACAGTCATACTGTACTTTCATTACAGTCTCAGTCCATTTCCATGTGAATTCCACCCAACTGCCAATAAGGTTATGGTGGTTACTTTTTATACTGTGGCATTATGATGGAACAAAAACACTGTTGGGTAAGATAAGTATTTTGCTGTCTCTGCTTAGTGTTGAGTGCTAAAAATAAGAGGTGGGAACTTCAAGCAGAGGATTTGAAACAGCCGGTTCAGACAAGAGTGTTGGGCATATTCAAAAATGTTATTATACACACTATGCTTTCGTCTTGGTCTTCTTTGACAAATTAGACTGGCTCGTCTTACTCTACAGACCATATTTGAACCTGGATAATTCTTTGTAATTAGTGTATTTCTATACCAAACAATGATTAACACAAAATGTATTCTGAAAGCAGATCTTGCTTGTTCCTATTCTACTGTAACTCCACATCTATGTACCTAGAATAGATCTAATGTGGATAAAATGGTTGGTTCATAGTCAAGTCACATTAGTACTCTTTATTGGAGTCTGAATTCATTCATAAATCCATTTACCCGTAACTCTTATTTCAACATTGAAGCTCTCCTGGCCGACCAGGTTCTTGACGGTAATGCTGTAGACGCCGCTGTCAGAGCGTTCAGATGTGGGGATCAATAACTGAGAGCCTTTATCAGAGTTGGTAATTGTCACATGTTTAGCCACTGGAATTCCATCTTTTAACCAACTAATCTCTGGGAGTGGGGAGGCCTGTAGACGATAGGGATCAGATAAATTCATTGATAAAGATATACATGATGTTAGTTAAACATTCAAACATTAAAATATATTCTCCACTGAACCTGTTCGGTGGGAAAGCTCTTGCAAAGTACCTCAAAGTTGATGTTCAGACGGACTGTGTTTCCAGATCTCACCACCACAAAGGTTTTCATGTTTCTGTCTTTAAATTTTGGCCGTACTGCAACGATAACATTTTAAATTGATTCATATTCATACAATTTAGCAGATAGTATAAATGTAGTTTTTCATTATTTTTAAAATTTTAGGTGAGGGAAGAAGAGTGAAAAGTTATTTCACATAATATTATTACCTTTATAAATCCAGAGCTATTATAGATCATTTGCATGTTACAATGTATTGTGCTCATGAGTATAATAGCTGTTAAAAATTCCCCGTTACTCTCTGTTACTGGAACCTATGTGTATTCCACAGTGATTCTATTTATTTCCCCTCCATTATCATGGCATTTTGATGCTTTATGATGTGTTGAAATTACTACACTACTAATGTTAAAAGCTGCATTTGAATCTGATTGTTGTATTTGTGCTGAAATGTCCAAAGTCCTCTTCTTTCATGTCTTTTCACAATTCCACTGTTTAACTACATCATCCAGAGATGTTGAAGAAGTAAATATTGTATCTTGCTAAAAAATGAAGAATAGCTGTTATATAAACAGTTGTCTTGGTGCAGAGCTATATTGTATTTTTGACAGCACTAGGGCTGTTTTAAAGCAAAGGCAGCTATGTGTAGATGTATTTTGTGCTGAAAACCCATTTTTGGAGACTTCTGAGTATTTCAAACAAAAAACTAAACTCCAAGAAAGTATCGAGGTCATGATTCACATCCTCTTACCGGGAGGGGGCATGGCAATGACGTAATTGTCAAAGACCTGAGGTTCTCCATCACCTCCGTAATTGGTGGCAATTACTCTCACCCAGTATGTGGCCATTGCCTTCAAGCCAAGTACAGTGTAGGAAGTTAAAGTAATTGGGACGGCATTACAGCGGGTCCATTCAAGGCTTTCTATCAGTCTTATCTCCACATAGTATCCTTGGGCTTCATCCTCAACCCCTTTCACTTCTTTAGGTTTAGTCCAAGCCAGGGAAAATGTGGTGTAGTTGGAGGATGTTAATTTCAGGTCTGTGACTTTGCCTGGAGGTTCTGGAATGATTGTAAAGACACAGAGAGCTACAGACACTGTTGCATTGAGCAGCACATAGCTTCTCTTTCAATAATTATATTTTCACTGTAGACAACCACAGTGAAATATAAGAACTCAATATGATTGACTTACTCTTTGGATCTCTTGCAATTACTGTGTCACACGGAATACTAGGATCTCCAGCACCAGACAGGTTGATAGCAGACACTCTAAATTCATACGCTGCCCCTTCAAAGACATCTTTCACTGCATACTTTGTATCTGGAGAAAAAGGAAGATGTTGGTATCCAGTCTCTAGAAATATCAGTTAATTTATGCTGATTCAGAGCAAGCATTGATTCTCACATAGTGAAACCAGTGGGAATCTTTTTATAGAAATTTAAAACCATTAAAGAAATATTTTGAGCAGTATCCTCATGGATGCAGTATTCAGTTGAAGTCTTAGTTTGATGGGGTTGATATCCCCATAAGAGGTTGTATATATTAGTTTTCATTACCCATTAATGTAGATGGTTGCCTCCAACTGATAATCTTACCTGTAATTGGCCCTACTTGGTTTACCAGGCTCCAGTAATTAGTGCCTTTCTTATTCTTTTCCAAATTGTAACCCACTATTTTGGTTCCTCCGGTGTCACATGGAGGACTCCATGCCAGATTGATGCAGTCTTTAAAGGCACTGATTACTTTAGGTGCTGTTGGGGCTCCTGGATAACCTGTGGGGGAAACATAGAATTCTGTCAATGTTTATGAGGGTGGCCAATGCTCTACATGTGACACAATTCTGGTACAGAAGTTGGAGTCACCAGGCAAGATGGAAAAACATTAGGTGCAAGATAAAACATGTTGGCATTACTGACTCACATACTTAAACCTTTTTGTAGTTTTTTTGCTTTAACAGACATTTTGCCTTTTTGTTATAGTATTACATATTCTCAAAAGAAGTAAAGATCTGTTTATTGTTTGTTCTGCCTACTTCCTCTACCTACTTCCCAAGAAATTGCTATGTTTTCATTTGAGAGAAGCTAAAGATGCCCTTTGAATTGCTAAAATTAGGCTCTGAACTAATTCTTACGCAGAACACCAGCAGCTATCGCCTCTGTTTGCAGGTAATCACTGATTCCTTCTGATGTCTTGGCTCGAATCCGATAGCAGTATCTTCTTCCAGGGTCGACATCTGAATCTCTGTAACTTGCATCGCTGCCACTGATCTCACCGAGATTTGTCCATTTACTCCGGCCCACTTGTTGGCGCTCTATGATGTAGCTGGTGATCGGGCACCCACCACTGTCTTTTGGTGGTTTCCATTTGAACTCTACAGATGTCACAGCACTTTCAATAATCTCTGCAGGTCCCTGTGGTGGTGTGGGTTTGTCTAATAAAAAAACAATAAGAAATCATATTGTGCTAAAAGAAAATACT